CGCAATGGGAACGTGTTGTTTGCCCAAGCACCAAATGTGTGGGTTTTTATAATGATCCTAAATTATAAAAAAACAATAAGAATATTTGCTGGCATATTCTGTAAGGTGGTGTAAAAATATAATGTCGAGTGCCCATAGCATCCAACTGAATTTGAAAAACAGCATACAGGATAAACATGTCATTTTAAAAAATGGATATGCATTGTTCATGTTTGCTACTTGCATCCAGCAGGTGGTAGATTCAAGGCCATTCTACAGTATTTAAGCACTGTGATATGTTATGAACAGTTTGAAGACCACATTGTTGTAAATAGACCTTTTTGACCATAGTTATATTTTGGGGTCACAGGAGGACATTTACTAATCTACTCCCGTGCCCTAAAACTCAGCATATAGGGGGCAATTGCTTGCTATATGCTGACAGCACCGAGCCGCGCTGCTCCCAGGACAAATCCCAACAATACTGTCAGGTTCCACCCCGCTGCCTAATTGACAGTTGGTGCTTCCTTTCTAGAGGCAGAGCCAGCTTTGCCAGACCCCTCCCCATCCGTCCCTCCAGTCAGTGCTGGAGGAACGGAGAAAGGAGGGGGGGATCCCTGAAATCAGCCGTACAAGCCTGAAGTGAATAGCTGAACGCCGTTTGGCTCACTTCACTTCGGGTGGGTTATTCACTTGGCTGCCTTTGGCAGCTTTGTGAGTACCCTCTTAGAGTAGTGATGTCATCTCCACATTCAAACCCAAAATTATGTCCACACCTAATCTAAAGTACAGTTATTGAACTATTCTCAATACAGGAACAGGATTTTATCACAGGGCTAATTTTGAAAGGATCGAACAAGCAAACTCATAAATGCCAATGACTAACAGACCTCAGGAATAAAGTCCAAAATAACTCGTATATCATGATTTCAACATGCTAAATAAACCTTAAAACAGAATAAAAAACAAAGTCGTAGTTCGTGTGCTTTTTTATGCCCATAGAGGGAGCTGGGAGTTTTAATATCCTCATTTTTTATAGGAGGTTCGACCGATCTGTACATCCAAAAAGAAAAACAATGCATTTTTGCAATTTAACATGACACATTTCCAACATCTTAAAACAATTTGTAACTCACTATATTTACATCCCTTTATCAACTATCAGATACGACAAATGACTTTGCCGTTAAGCTCGAGTAAGCCTGGCAGCTGGTGGTCACAGATTGTTCCAATGTACCTCTCCAGGTCAGGGAGAGACATGCACATCTTTTACATTGATTCACATGGTGGATTCTGCTCAATAAGAAAGTGCTGATTTGAGTAATTGTTTCATTCTGAATAGCATGTTTGCCAACTCTGAAGGCAAAATCTATTGACACGATATTCAATACATTCTATCTAGATATAAAACACTTTAGACCTGTCCAAGGACAAAAAGTAAATAATAACAGCACAGAAGTAAATTTTCCTCAGGAGAATTATAAGCATTCTAGAGCTGCCTATACACGGGCAGATCGGGTTGCCCAGGACATGATTATGGCTGCAACTAGTGATTATTTTCATAATCGATTAGTTGGCCGATTATTTTTTCGATTAATCTATTAATTGGATAAAAAAAATACCATAATTTATTTAAAATAAAAAAAAGAAATAGAGTGTTACAAACATAAAGCACATGTTTTTGCATTCACACCGGAAGACAGGGCATTGCAGTACCGCACGTTCCAGTGCAGGTGATTACACGGCATTCGGGAGGGGCGTTTGAGATGCCATTGAAATTAATGTTATGACAATGCACATCCCAGAGCAGAATGTTATGGCCGAAACCGAAAATTATGCTTGCCACTAACAGGACTCTGTGCAGGGCAGTCAAGATCCTCCCCCCCACACACTCGCTTATCCATGTCTTTATGGACCTTGCTTCGTGCACTGGTGCGCAGTCATGTTGGAACAGGAAAGGGCCATCCCCAAATGGTTCCCACAAAAGGTGGGAGCATGAAATTGTCCAAAATGTCTTGGTATGCTGATGCTTTAAGAATTCCCTTCACTGGAACTAAGGGGTCAAGCCCAACCCCTGAAAAACAACCCCACACCATAATCCCCCCTTCACCAAACTTTACATTGGCACAATGCAAACCCAGACACGTCCATCGGATTGCAAGACAGAGAAGCGTGATTTGTCACTCCAGAGAACATGTATCCACTTCTCTAGAGTCCAGTGGCAGCGTGCTTTTACACCACTCCATCCAATGCTTTGCATTGCATTCGGTGATGTAAGGCTTGGATGCAGCTGCTCGGCCATGGAAACCCATTCCATTAAGTTCTCTTCTGTTGTGCCAATCTGAAGGCCACACAAAGTTTGGAGGTCTGTAGCTATTGACTCTGCAGACAGTTCGTGACTTCTGAGCACTGTGCGCTTCAGCATGCGCTCACCCTGCTCTGTCATTTTACGTGGCCTACTACTTTGTGGTTGAGTTGCTGCTGTTCCCAGTTGCTTCCACTTTGTTATAATACCACTAACAGCTGACCGTGGAATATTTAGTAGCAAGAAAATTTCACAGATGGACTTATTGCACTGGTGGCAACCTATCAAGGTACCACACTTGAATTCACTGAGGTTCTGAGATTCTGTTTGTAGATGCAGTCTGCATGCCTAGGTGCTTGATCTTATACACCTGTAGCCATGGAGGTGATTGAAACACCTGAATCCAATGATTTGGAGGGGTGTACCAATACCTTTGGCAATATAGTGTGTATATATATATATATGTATATTTATTTATTATAAAATCCCGGTCATCAGTTTAGAATTAGCTATGAATATTGGCCTGAGAAATATTGCTCTCACTCCGGCACATGCGAAAATGCCTGACATGTGTAATGCAATGGTCGGTTTTCTACGTAGGTGCATCTGACTTGTGTTTCCGTTAGTATGCACGTGCTCGTGGGGTTGGGGGACTTTAACTTTTTTGGGGGGTATTTTTACCTTAATTTAACTTTATTTTTTACCTCATTGTTATCACATGGGTGGGGGGCTCACAAGCCCACACGCTGCCTGCTGTCAATCAGCAGAGGAGGGAACTGAAGGAGAAAGTTCTCCTTCAGGTCCTCCTCTGCTGATCGACAGCAGGCAGTGGGCGGACGCAATAGCCAACCTGCTATTGGCTGCTGCAATTTAAAATAGCAAATAGCAGGCTGGCTATTGCTCCCAGTCGCTGATAGGAGACTTGACGACGAATTTCAACAAATGCATTAGCAAGGCCATTTCATCACCTGTCATTTTATTGCCTGCAACAGCTGAACTCTGGGAAACAGAAACTTTATATAAAATCTCACAGCCTATCCCCGGAACAGTTATTAAAACACATTTTCAGCTCCTGACTTCGAAGTAAAGATATTATTCTTTTTCTACCTGTTCAAATCACTACAGTGTTAAATGATCTGTACCCTGTGGGAGTAAACTTCTGGGAATCGGTGGCAGTACTGCAGAAAGGCAGGTGGGTTGAGTGTGTAGTAGCACGGAAACAGGAATTTTCCATCATTGCTGCAGCATCTGGGGTGGGCCACAGTTGGACGGAATGAGACACGGCAGGGTTTATTATAACCCGCCAGCATCTGACACCAAGGAACCCTCTTACTGCAGGCAGTGTTGGTCACCACATCAGCACTGCCTACAGTAGGGTAATTATTTAGAGCCACAGGATAATGGTAAGGGGACCAGGCACCCAGTATATAGACAAAAGGCTATGGGTAATCAGTTCCCAAGAGGATATAGGTGCCTTCAAGCTATGAAAGGGCAAATGTTAAAATCAATTTGGAGGAGATGGAACATGTTAAGACATACTACTAAGTGCCTGGATTTCAGCTTTAATATTGTATGAGGGGCAGGTCAAATATTAGGAGCTTGTGCCTTAATTATTATTTAGATCTTTTACTTTGTTAATGGATGTAGGTCTCCTGTGACTAGTCATTGAGTCCTACAAAGTTACAAAGTTGGTCAGATTGAAAAAACACATGTTCATTGAGTTCAACCTGAAGTCAAGAGTAAATACATTCAAAATCTCCATTCTAAGGATGCAGTTGATCCAGAGGAAGGCAATAAACTCTCATCAAGTATTGTGTAATTTAATCCATCACAAAAAAATTACTTCCTGATTCCCTAAGGCAATCAAATACTCCATGGATAGACATTATGCAATGTTATTTCTAGTTATATTTTGTAGATTTAGTAACAGGACCAGCCTTTTTAGAAACAATCTACAGAGTTGGCTAGAATTAGCTCCTGTGGAAGTCTCTTTCATATTTTCATAGCTCTTAATATAGATAGACCTTTCTGTATCTGGAGGTTATACCTCTTCTCTTCCAGGGACAAAGAGAGTCCCCGTATCTTTCGTAATGGTGACTATATTCACCGTTAACAGCATTTTGTCAGGGAGATAACATTTAATTTAGACAATCTCTCCTCATAGCTAAGGTTCTTCATGCTCCTTATTAATTTATATGTCCTCTGCACATAATTCAGTTTTTTTTTCCATAGAGGGGTCTACTGCCAATCACTTTGTGGCTTGTTAATCCTCACAGATAGCTTGGGAGATCTGACCAAGTATCAAAGTACATGTCATACGGTGGAAAAAATACAGAGATTACAACCTCTGAACAAGCGAAAGCTTTGTGCAGACGAATACTATTGTAGATCAAATACATCATTTTGAGAAACAAAAGAAAAGAAATGTCCATTAAAGACAAATAAAATATAACAAAAGTATTCAAAATATTTCAGCATAATTACATAGATAGCCAGGTTGAAAAAAGACACAAGTCCATTGAGTTCAACCCTTAGAGCATGTGTTGATGTCATTGTTGTTCAGTTTTGTTTTCCATGAAACAATTATTTTAATTAACTTAAACATTCCAGCAGCATGTTTGACTGCAAACCCAAATATATTATTCTTGCTTGCACTCTGCATGTCCTAATCCTTTCTCCAGTTTAATAAAATGTGTCCATTGCAGATTGTACTCACCAAAGACTGTTCTTGCAGGCACAGATTCCCTATTCAACCAGAATGACACCTGAGACAAGATGACGGTCATGATGCAAGGGAGATAGGTCTGAATCACAAAATAACCAATTTTTCGCTTCAAGTGAAAATGTGTTGTCATAACTGTGTATTCTCCTGCCAGACAGAAGCATTCCAAATGAGAATTAATTTCACACTGTCCACAGTATATAGCATGGATTACTGAATAAAAGGGCATTCAAAAGAGTGCAGGATGCACCATCACTCTCTCTCTCTGAGGTAATACAAATTATTTGGTAAGGAAAATTAATATGAAAAAGAAAATGATCATAAAAATCAGGCTTATTTAAAGGTAACCCCATAAATGGATCACAATTCTGCCACATGGTTTAAAGGAGAACTATGAGGTGAGTGATTTCCACTCACCTCATAGTTCTAGCCAACCTGTGACAATGAGACTGTCACAGGTCGGCTCAGTAGATCGGGAGGTGAGCGAACACATACCAGGTTCGCTCACCTCTCGATCCTGTCACTGCTCTCTGCCGTGACAGGGGGAGGGCTGGATTCCCCTCTCCCCGCTCCAATCTGCCAGCGCTGACTGGCAGAACGGACGGGGGAGGGTACCTCTGTTCAGTACCTCTGTGGTACCGAGCAGAATAGAAAAACAGTAAGAAAAGTAGTAAAAAATTAAATAGAAAACTATTGGGCAGAGCTAGCAGTGACAGCTAGCTCCGCCCAACTTTTTTATATTGGCCGGGCGGTTCAGCTGCCGTCAGAATAAAAAAAACAAATCACCATAGGAATGCATAGCTAGATTCCTATTGGCTGTTGAAATCAGCCGTACATCGGCTTGCTTCGTGCGGCTTTGGGTCAGCCGAACATGCTCAGCATGTTCGGCCGACCCGAAGTGCAGAAGGAGTTTGACTCAGCCGATCCAACATCTGGACCGGCTAACCCGAACCTCCGACAGGCTACTGGCTGCTGTTCGGCCTATTCTCATAGATGCCGAACAGCAGTGAGTGAATAGCCGAATGCCGCCGAGCTTGACTATTCGGCTCGGCTATTGTGCTCGGTGCCTCTGTGGTACCGAGCAGAATAGAAAAACAGTAAAAAAAAGTAGTAAAAAATAAAATAGAAAACTATTGGGCAGAGCTAGCAGTGACAGCTCCAACTGTTTTATATTCGCTGGGTGGTTCAGCTGCCGTCAGAATAAAAAAAAATCACCATAGGAATGCATAGCTAGATTCCTATTGGCTATTTCACATTGCAATAGCCAATAGCAAACTAGCTATTGAACACGTGAGATGACGGCTGGCTCCGCCCAGCAGGCAGTAGCAGGCTTTCACCTCAGCTCAGTCTAGCCGAAGCATATGCCTTCGGCTCGACAGAGCCGCACGGCCGACTTCGGGAGCTGTACGGGCTATAGTGAATAGCCTGTACAGCAGCCCTTCGGTCCTGGGGGCCGAAGCTAGCCAAAGGATCAGCCAAAGCTACGGCTAGATCCTTTGGCAGCTTAGTGAATAGACCCTTAAATCTATAAAGCACTGCTTTTAGGCCCAAAAAGGGACAACAAACTGCAAAAGTTATTTCTGCCATTTCCATCGTTGAGAAACCACAGCTGCTCCAGACTCAAAACTGTTTGATTTGATTATTTAAATCTAATATATTTTACAGAACACAAATAAAATTGAATTACTATGATTAAAACAATTTAACTAACCTGTGCTTGACTTAATGGTTTCTTTACCAACTAAATGTCCTAAGAGGACATACTGATTCAATCTCGAGCCATCCGGTGCTACAACAACTGACTCTGTGGCATTGCGTGTCCATACATATGGCACTTCTGAAGTTGTGTAGGCATCTGTGAAGAAAAAAAAAAGTAAAATCAATGTCGACAGCAACTAAAATTTACTCTGTAAAATAAACAGCATTTTTTGATATTGTATATTTGCTAGTTTAGGAGTCAAATTCTAGAACAGACAAAAAGAATAATCATCCCCTACTAGAGATTCCAAAAAGGGTTAATCACGCTATCATTTTTGTAGAAAAGTATACATTTATTAACAATCACATAGAATTTTTTTTTTTAATCCAAAAAAAAGAAAAGAAAGAACATGAAAAAAAGAAAAAAAAAATCAAACAACAAACATATAAATTTAAAACACACACATTCCCTACCAGTCATGGCTAAAGTACATACAGGGGGGATTTTCTTTAAAACATTTTTTTTTCTATACGGTATAAATTTATACTGCAAAATTGATAGTGTGATTAACCCTTTTTGAGATCTCTAGTGGGGGATAATTATTCTTTTTTCTGTAACCAATCGAAAAGAGACCCAAAAAGGCTGATATAATTACTATATATTAAACTGCTGTCAGTAATTTCCCAGTTTTTTTTTTAAATTCTAGAATACTTTTCATTCCAAAGCAGAAATATATATAACTAATTATTATAAAGTAATTGTCAGGCAACCCATCTCAGTTCAGTATCAGAAATGTACTCTCTATTATCACACAGGGAGGGATCAATATTTGGGAGAACATACAGTAGATAAACAAGAAGTTAACTATGGCCTACACATATAGCTACACCTGGTCATATTAATGAACAACACTTAAGGACTTTTCTTCAAAATGTCTTTAAAATGTATGTCAAGGCATTACCCCAATTAACCCCCAAAGCCTACTCTCCCTTCTCGAGCATGTCCCACTATTGTTTTTTTTTTACCTTGTTCCTGTAGCAAGAAACAGGTTTATTTCCCCCTGTGACCTTAACACAAGGCTTGCAAAATTATTTCAGTGGAAGCTGGTGGGAGGTCGGTTCTTAATGATGTAGGCACACCCCCAGAACAACATCTCCCAAAAGCCCTTTGCCTACATAAAAATTGTGGGCAAGCTCTCAGAAGTGAGGGCAGCAGCATTGTGTTACTGTGAAAATAAATTGCTTCGTGCGGCTTTGGGTCAGCCGAACATGCTCAGCATGTTCGGCCGACCCGAAGTGCAGAAGGAGTTTGACTCAGCCGATCCAACATCTGGACCGGCTAACCCGAACCTCCGACAGGCTACTGGCTGCTGTTCGGCCTATTCTCATAGATGCCGAACAGCAGTGAGTGAATAGCCGAATGCCGCCGAGCTTGACTATTCGGCTCGGCTATTGTGCTCGGTGCCTCTGTGGTACCGAGCAGAATAGAAAAACAGTAAAAAAAAGTAGTAAAAAATAAAATAGAAAACTATTGGGCAGAGCTAGCAGTGACAGCTCCAACTGTTTTATATTCGCTGGGTGGTTCAGCTGCCGTCAGAATAAAAAAAAATCACCATAGGAATGCATAGCTAGATTCCTATTGGCTATTTCACATTGCAATAGCCAATAGCAAACTAGCTATTGAACACGTGAGATGACGGCTGGCTCCGCCCAGCAGGCAGTAGCAGGCTTTCACCTCAGCTCAGTCTAGCCGAAGCATATGCCTTCGGCTCGACAGAGCCGCACGGCCGACTTCGGGAGCTGTACGGGCTATAGTGAATAGCCTGTACAGCAGCCCTTCGGTCCTGGGGGCCGAAGCTAGCCAAAGGATCAGCCAAAGCTACGGCTAGATCCTTTGGCAGCTTAGTGAATAGACCCTTAAATCTATAAAGCACTGCTTTTAGGCCCAAAAAGGGACAACAAACTGCAAAAGTTATTTCTGCCATTTCCATCGTTGAGAAACCACAGCTGCTCCAGACTCAAAACTGTTTGATTTGATTATTTAAATCTAATATATTTTACAGAACACAAATAAAATTGAATTACTATGATTAAAACAATTTAACTAACCTGTGCTTGACTTAATGGTTTCTTTACCAACTAAATGTCCTAAGAGGACATACTGATTCAATCTCGAGCCATCCGGTGCTACAACAACTGACTCTGTGGCATTGCGTGTCCATACATATGTCACTTCTGAAGTTGTGTAGGCATCTGTGAAGAAAAAAAAAAGTAAAATCAATGTCGACAGCAACTAAAATTTACTCTGTAAAATAAACAGCATTTTTTGATATTGTATATTTGCTAGTTTAGGAGTCAAATTCTAGAACAGACAAAAAGAATAATCATCCCCTACTAGAGATTCCAAAAAGGGTTAATCACGCTATCATTTTTGTAGAAAAGTATACATTTATTAACAATCACATAGAATTTTTTTTTTTAATCCAAAAAAAAGAAAAGAAAGAACATGAAAAAAAGAAAAAAAAAATCAAACAACAAACATATAAATTTAAAACACACACATTCCCTACCAGTCATGGCTAAAGTACATACAGGGGGGATTTTCTTTAAAACATTTTTTTTTCTATACGGTATAAATTTATACTGCAAAATTGATAGTGTGATTAACCCTTTTTGAGATCTCTAGTGGGGGATAATTATTCTTTTTTCTGTAACCAATCGAAAAGAGACCCAAAAAGGCTGATATAATTACTATATATTAAACTGCTGTCAGTAATTTCCCAGTTTTTTTTTTAAATTCTAGAATACTTTTCATTCCAAAGCAGAAATATATATAACTAATTATTATAAAGTAATTGTCAGGCAACCCATCTCAGTTCAGTATCAGAAATGTACTCTCTATTATCACACAGGGAGGGATCAATATTTGGGAGAACATACAGTAGATAAACAAGAAGTTAACTATGGCCTACACATATAGCTACACCTGGTCATATTAATGAACAACACTTAAGGACTTTTCTTCAAAATGTCTTTAAAATGTATGTCAAGGCATTACCCCAATTAACCCCCAAAGCCTACTCTCCCTTCTCGAGCATGTCCCACTATTGTTTTTTTTTTACCTTGTTCCTGTAGCAAGAAACAGGTTTATTTCCCCCTGTGACCTTAACACAAGGCTTGCAAAATTATTTCAGTGGAAGCTGGTGGGAGGTCGGTTCTTAATGATGTAGGCACACCCCCAGAACAACATCTCCCAAAAGCCCTTTGCCTACATAAAAATTGTGGGCAAGCTCTCAGAAGTGAGGGCAGCAGCATTGTGTTACTGTGAAAATAATCAATTTATGTATGAAATGATGAACAGAGAGGCGTGGAGGATACGCAAAGTAGTACAAAAAGTATTGCTGACAACACTAGTTGGAACTTGCTGTACTCACCTTCCCCATGCTCCCCTGCCTCCTTCAGAGCTGAAAGTTCAAACCCAGTGTAAGATCAATGTTGGTTACTGACTTCCTTCCCTCCCTCACATGACTCTAATTGAAAACTATGGCAATAGCACTGCATTCTGCGTGGAAGGGGAGAAGCATCAGATATTCCCCAAGAGCTGCAACTGAGTGATGAGAGCATGATAATCATGAGTATTAGTTGGTAGAGGGTAGAATTTTCATGAGAACCTATCCCCTGAACGGACCAAGGAATATATTCTCGCTAACTAAATTTTGGGCTCAGTTGAAAGCACCCCCTGCTCATCCTATCCACCCTCAGAGCTCCAAGACAGCCCAGTACTTTTGCATATAGAGCACCTGCAGACTTCCCTCTGCTTCCCAGAGTCCAGCGCTTAATGCTGTGTGTCAGGGAATGCACTATGATACAGGTGTTGTGTAAAAAGATTTTACAAATATATTTATTTTCCACTGTTATTGAAAATTCCTGGACACACCTAATTTCCCGCAGAGACTGGGTTGTGCTGTCTTATTCTATCAGGGTGAATTTTTGTATCTGGGATTGGGCTGTGAATTAACAACACTGAATTACAGGTAGATATAAACAAACACCATTAAAACCAATCATGTGTTTTTAAAACATCCTGTCACTGGTTGTTTATATACTTGCCTTCCCCGTGCTCCCCCACCATTCTGTTCTCCTGTGTAAGCTCCACGTAGGTCTGTGTCAGATCTTACACAAAGTTAATGACCTTCTCCCCTCCATTGCATGACAGGCTTGCCGAAAGGCCATTCAGGCTCAAGCACGTCATCCTAGAAAGGAAAGGAGAAGGTCGGATGCTCCCCTGTACCTAGAAATACTGGGTATTTCTTAGCACTTCTGCGCAATAAAGGAGTAGTGGGGGAATGCAGCGACAGTGAGTTTCAGTGGGTTGTGGGTGCCCTATCAAAAGGGTCTGCCATTCTTCCCAGAATGAACAAAGCAAGATTCTATTTGAATTTATTTTTTTACACTCAGCTAGCATAAATACATACTGTAAACCTGTCTTGTTATTAGCTCATTAGCCCTGTACAGCAGCACTAAGTCTGGGAGATCACACGTTAGCACTGAGCCAATCAGGACCCAATTGTATTGCATGGTGCATACATGAGGGGAAAAGACAAGGATGACTTTATTAGTGAGCTGCTGTTTCTTTATTAACCAATCACACACTATGATAAGTCCTTGACCAGGTGGGGTCCAAGACTTGGCTGTGCTAGGACAGCGGTATATCAGTTCACATACTGTATATGTATTTCAGCTGTGTATTGAGTTTTTTTAATGTCTTATTCTACATAATATTGAGGAAATAGGTCACCAGCACTCCAAAAAGTTAAAATGAATAAGTCCTTTTTATTGGACAATTGTGACACATCTTTTGCCTTGAAGAAGGGACCCTGCGTGGCCCCGAAACGGCTCTTTTTGATTGTCGTGACACAATTGTCAAATAAAAAGGACTTATTCATTTTAACTTTTTGGAGTGCTAGTGACCCATTTCCTCAACTTTGTGTTTTACACGGTGCCATCCGTGTTAGTTACTGCAAGCACCACTTTTGTTTATTGGCCGGGACTGCTGAAAGGTGTGCGGAGGGCACCCCCACCAACTGCAACTTATTCTACATAATGTTATACTCAGTGGTCAGTGGCATTTATATTTTCCTTATATACTTTCAATATTAGTAGGAAAATCCACACCAAACCAAGCAGTAAAAACAGTGTTAAGTATAATGCCAATATTCAGTAATGTAAAATTAGAGAGACTTTATTCTAGACGTTATAAAACTATTATGGATGTTGCCATGTTTAATTTAAAAGGCTATTGAAAACTACTGTCTGATCCTTTCTTTTCTTGCAGGCCCAGGTCAGTGTAAACTTGGAATTCTTTACGTTAAGCTTGTTGCAATCTGCATTCCAAATGCAGACCAGGATTAAGAACAACAAGGGAGGCATTTTTTCTACATACCATTTTTTGGTTTAATCTCTCTATTAGTAATATGGTTGTAAACTTTATTTATTTTTTAAATTCTTTATTTATAAATCAAGATTTTTCAGTATAAACAGTAAAACAAAAAAGAAGATAATAGAGAACAAAGTATTGAGTACAAAGGATTATATTGTCAACTTTATTTAAATACTATAGAAGCAATTCACAAACTGTTTAAAGAAGACAGTCCCTGTGTAAGTTTTGCCAATCGATCCACCCCACGTGATGTTAGCTAGTAAACCGTAAAAAAAGCAGAATGCAATTTTAAAAGAATTTATGTTTTCTTTGTCCTCAGTCCTGGTCTATAGACATGTGCTCTCTAAACATCTACTGAAGAGGCTGCACTCTCCCAGCAGTTTGTGATCTATTTCTATGTTGATTACAAGACTGCAATGCAGCATGGAGATCATAATTTTTTGGATCCGACACTAAAAGTATTAAATTAAAATCAATTACATTAAGTGGAATATGGTACAGTTCCCTTCCTTGCTCTCCACATTCCTGAACTGCAATTACAGTGTATCCTATGTATTATTTGATGTAAATAATGCTATGTTTATAACAGCCCTATGCTTTGATAACAGTTCTAAAAGGCACACAGGAAAAAAGACAAATTTGCTGGTCTGCAGTTACAGTGCATACTGCAGAAATGTATATTCTAAAGTACAGCCTTACTTTAAAGAATTAGATTGAATTTTAATTTAATAATTGATGGTAATTTAATTAACTGTACATGCATTAGCAACTTGAACAAGACAAAAAGCATTACTTTTATAGTCTGTGACTAAGAGGGTTATTCACTGAGCTGCCAAAGGCAACCGAGTGAAAAACTGAGCCGAAGTGAATGGAGCTGAACGAGGTTCGGCTTTTTACTTCAACCGAGTACAGCTGATTTCAGTCGTACAACGGACGTAGCGAGCTAGCTCCGCCTATCTGTTTACATTTGTCCGGCATCTGTCAAACTTTCATTCATTGTGTGCGGACGGGTCGGAGGGCATCAGGTTTTTTTTATTTCAACGAGTCGTCGTCATCGTGGACAACACTAGACGTCGAGATTGACCCTTGGATTCTTTTTTTTTCATTTTTATTTTTTTATTAAAGGAATTGTCAAAAACTTTTATTATTTTTCAATTAAAAGATTTTTTCTTAAAGTGTGGGCTCTTTATTTATATTAACCCTTTAGAGAATGAGTAAGGGGTACAAGTACCCCTTACTCATTCACAAGAGGGGGCAGCATCTGGGTGCCCCCTTTATTAAAGGAAGTACCCCGATGCAAATAAGCCTGCCTGCCTGCAGACCCCCACAACCCCCGGATCAGGGTTGTGGCGGAAGAGGCCCTTGTCCTCATCAGCATGTGGACAAGGTGTTTTTCCAGGGGGACCACTGGAAAGGCATCCTCCCAATGCCAAGGGCAGGTGGCCTGGTAGGGTACAGGGAGGAGGGGCACTCGCTCGTCCTCTCCCTTTCCAGCCCTCTGCTCAGATTAAGGGTCTGGTTGGGAATTTTAGGAGGGACCCCATGTTTTTTCCTCCTGTTTTTGGGGGGTGTGGTTCCCGCTTAAAATCCTTACCAGACCTAAAATGCCTGGCATGACTTTTGGGAGGGGGGACCCCACATAAATATTTTTTATTTTTAACTCAGGGGTCCCTCCTAACTTTCCTAACAGACCTGAAGGCTGTGGTATGGATCGGGAGGGGGACCCCCGGATGTTTTTTAAATATTTGTTTACATTTTGTGGTGAGAGCTTTGGCATATATGCATGATCTACTCCATTTGTAGTTTTAATTAG